ACCAGGATGGTCTCGATCTCTTGACCTCGTGATCCACCCGCCTCGGCCTCCCACAGTGCTGGGCTTGAGCCACCGCGCCCGGCCAGCAATTTTTTTTTTTTTTTTTGAGACAGAGACTCACTCTGTTGCTCAGGTTGGAGTACTTGCCCAGGCTGGAGTACAGTAACAAGATCTTAGCTCACTGCAACCTCCACCTCCTGGATTCAAGCAATTTTTGTGCCTCAACTTCCCTAGTAGCTGGGACCACAGGTGTGTGCCACCACACCCAGTTAATTTTTTATATTTTTAGTCCAGATAGGGTTTCACCATGTTGGCCTTGGACTCCTGACCTCAAGGGATCCGCCTAACTTGGCCTCCCAGAATGCTGGGTTTATAGTTGCTAGCCACCAAGCCCAGCCACACCAAGCAATTTTCTGACTGGAGTCTGGCTTCTGTGTGGCTCTCTGGAGATTCTATTTTGCTTTGTAAGTTGGCATCTGGTTTATAAGTATCACCTATGAGTTGGTAAATACAAGTCAGTGTGCCTGACCAAAAGGAATCCACTCTGTGTCCCCCAACAAGAATGAGTGCATGGATAGGCAAGACTGAGGACTACTGAAGGAGGCCTCCTGACAGCCAGTTCCTGGAGACACCACTCACAACTTTCAGCCATGGAAAGCTGGCCCACTTACTTTAGCAGGGTCCCCAGACTACACCATAAGGTGCCTTCACCTATAACACAAATGTATGAAATCTTCCCCTTCCTTTATAATGTGAGTAATGACATCTTAAAATAACAGAGTATAGCCAGGCCTGGGGGTGCACACTGGTAATCTCAGTTACTTAGGAGGCTGAGGCACAAGAATCACTTGAATCCGGAGGCAGAGGTTGCAGTGAGCTGAGATAGCGCCACTGTACTCCAGCCTGGGCGCCAGAGCAAGACTCTTGCCTTAAAAACAAAAAAAATCCAGAGTAATGTGCTTGGCAATACTTGTCAACACAGAACTATGCACCTGTCATCCTTCATGTGTACTACAGACAGACTGGAGCCACAGTCATGGCAAGCCCCAACATAAAATCAGCAGGATCCATGAAAAAGGATGCTGAATCTAGATTTAGAAGGTGCAATTCCAATTCCAGCCTTATCACAACCAAATCACAAATTATCCCATCAGCTTCCTCATTTGTAAAACATGAGTAATGGATAACCTAGCTACTACTTTTTAGTATCATCTCAATATTTTCACAATGTTAGAAAATATGGGTATGGTGGCACACGCTAATCAGGAGGCTGAGGTAGGAAGATCACCTGAGCCCAGGGAAGCTGAGGCTGCAGTGAACTGTGATTGCACCACTGCACTCCAGCCTGGACAGCAGAGTGAGACTCTGTCTCAAAAAAAAAAATTAAAAATAAAAATAAAGAAATACATAAATAATAAGAAAAAGAAGAAAGAGAAAACAAAGGGATTTGATTGATGCTGCCTCCATTTGCCTGTGTAGAAAACAAGGCAGATCAGGTTTCAATACCAGTCCTAACTCTTCTATGGTATAGCTATGAGACCCTAAAGAAAGCCCTCTCTCAGGGTGCCAGATTCCTTCACATACAAATTAAAGGTTGAATTAAATTTCTAAGCATTTTGAAAACACTTAGAAGACCAAATGTGAAATAAAATAAACAAGCTGGAAAAACAGACAGGGTAATTAGCTGTGCGTGATGGCAAGCACCTGTAATCCCAGCAACTTGGGAGGCTGAGGCAGAAGAATCGCTTCAACCTGAAAGATGGAGGTTGCAATGAGCCAAGATCATGGCATTGCACTCCAGCCTGTGTGACAGAGTGAGACTCAGTTTTAAAACAAAAAAACCAGACAGGATACAGACAATTGTTATTCTTCATAATAACCCTGTCAACACTTGACAGCTAAGCTCTTCAAGAGACAAGTTCACAGCAAAGACTATGAAAGAATATTAACTGTATCTCTAAGTGGAATGCCAGTGAATAATGAATATGGGTGAGTGGAGGAGACTTACAAGTTAAGAAATAATTTGTGGTATACAAGACATAATCTGAAGAACAACTAATATACAGAGGTTGCCAACAAACTACCACCTATTTTTCAAGACACAACAGTTTAACTTATCCCCTCATTACTTTGTGAAGTAAGGCAAGCACTTCTATTTCCATTTGACTTATGAAAAAATGAGGGTCAGAAGTTATCTGACTTGCCAAAAGTCACACTGTCAGTCCCTGAATGGCAGAGCCTCAGTTTCATATTTGCTAGTACAGCATTGATCACAAACTTATCCATGTATTTATTTACCTGGCACTGTCTGTCCTCTGAGATCCTCCGGCTCTTGTCCTCCGTGAAGCAGATATCCTCCTTCTTGTTCTTATTGGCCCTCCACCGTGGTTTGAAGGAGCAGGTCTGAGGAATTCCAGCATGCCATGAATTCTCTGTAGCCCACTGATGAAGCTGGTCATTGAATGCAATGAAGATGCTTGGATGTTGTGATTAGCACCAGAAGCCTGGCTATGTTGTTCTGAAGCCCCTGGACTGATGTTCTCCACATTGTCTTCTCCCACAACCTCGACTTCTTCTGTCAGGTCAATGGACAGTTGTGGAGCAGGCTGGAGCAGGGGTGGTCTCACTTGGCTATTGGCTACTTCAGCAGGAGAAGCATGGAGCAGGGGTGGTCTTGCTTGGCTATTGGCCACTTCAGCAGGAGCAGGCTGGAGCAGGACTGGTTCCCCTTGGCTACTGACCACTTCAGCAGGAGATGGCTGGATGACAGGTGGTCCCCTTTGTCTGCTGAGCACATCAGCAGGAACAAGCTGGAGGAGGGCTGGTCCCCCTTGGCTGCTGGCCATGTCAGCAGGAGCTGGCTGTTCTACAGCATGATTTAACTGTTCCTGAAGATCATACTCCATTGCTTCCTGAGCCATCACTAGAGAAACAATATTTGTAAAAAGTATTAATGAAATAGATAAAACATGCTATGTAGCTGACAGAATCATATTTAGTTCTTTCTGAATTTATGTTTAAGATCATTCTTAGCAAGACTGAGAAGCTTCAAGAGAGGATTTTAACTACTTAAGTCAGAAGTGTTTGGTAATTGACTTTCTTCGCTACAACAAGCGTTTATAACCAGTTTTCCAGTTTGCCCTTAGAAAACACAAAGTCCTGTGATAGTAATATCTTCCAAAATGGAAAGATCTATTAACCAAGGGGATTAAACTACTGGGTCTAAAAGTAATCTCTCAGACACACTGCAGTTCTCTGTCTCAAGCTGAATATGGACATTCACCAAAATCAAACACTTATAATGCTGTATCTAATCTTAGCAGGCAATATAAATCTTTCACAGCATCAACAGTTACAAAGGACAGAGAAATTTCACACTTGCAAATTTAACTGAGTTACTAACTCAAATTAACTGAGTTACTAACTTAAAATGAAAGTTTACCTAATTTTTCCAAAAAGGCTGCACAAACTTCATCCTATCATTATTTTTGTTTTCCATTTCTAATTTCATCATATTAGTCTATTCAAATATTAAGCACCTATGTTCCTTTCATTATGTTTCCCATCTTTAATTCCATCCATAACATCAGTCTGAAAACTACCACCTAGTTTTTAAATTTAAAAAAAAAAAAAAAAAAAAAAA